ATGAACAGCCACGGTACAAGGCAGTTGGCAAGTGAGTTCTATTTTTTCACAAATGGAATATGTCACTTTTAAGTTAGCAAGTCAAATTTCCTGAAGATCAATTTCTGTCTATTACTGGAGGTACTGAGAAAGCTTCTTAGTTAATATATATCATATTTTAATTAGAAAATCTGAAAATTAGGCCATTTGTTGCAACATTGTGAGATTTGACCTCAATCTACAAAAGAATACAACTTTGGTTGAAAAAAAATCAAGGAACTACATAAACAAGAGAGAATTAAATCTTAAATGAGGACAGTATGTAAGAGAAAATTATATATTCAAGCCTTAATTTAAAATGTCCAGGCTACCTGAAGTATAAGTGAACTTGTAAGCATTTCTCTTAAATCTAAAATCTGGAAGATTTTTTTTCCCTTCACCATCATACCATAAATCTAGCTTTGCTCAATTAAAAGGGCCATAAATCAGTGGTAAAAAGAATGGAAATAATTCCCTCAATCAAATTTTCAGAAAGTTCTAATCATTCAAAGAGGACCAACCTGTCGTCGGATCTCTTCTTTAACGCTTTCCTGTGTTTCTGGCAATGCTGGCATGGTTGCCATGTTAGACCAACGAAGAGGCTTTGTTACTGGCTTGAGGACCACATTTCCAAAGAATTCTTGTACGTGAGTGAAAAACATGTAAAGGACACGGTTGCTGATCTAAAAAGACACAGTGCCACTTTAGAAGTATTGCCATTCATTGTGTAGATATACTTGCAAAATAACAAAACATTCCTTTCTAAACACACTTACAGTATTAATGTTTTCAAGTTGTGAAGGTTGGGAAACATTGCATTAGAGCAGACATGACAAACTCGCGACACCATTGCCGGCAATGGGGTGAGCGCGGCTTCCGGATGACCCGTGCGGCCCGTGGGCCGGCAGTTTGACCCCCTGCATTAGAGTATTAAAGCAACTGGATCTTTTGCAAGGTTTTCAAAGGTACTTAGAAAGCTGCTGTCCTGCACCACAGCCATATGGCGACAGTCCCAGCAGAAATGGCCGTGTGTAAACACATCTATGCCCCAAAACAGGAGACAGCTGCTGAAGCTGTGTGAGCTTTACAAAGAACTTGACCTATCTGTGTGAACAACATACAATAGTCTCTTCTAAATGCATCTGTCCTGAGCACATATTTTACCACCTTGTAATGGAAAATGATGTGAAATGTCCAAGCGATATGGGCCGCAGTCTATGATATGAACAAAGATGGCCCTTGTTAGTTTAGAGCAGCAATCTTTTCAACACTCCTGCTTTGTTGGATATGTCGCTCTGAATAACAGTTGAGAAAAGCTGTGCTATAGTCTTCTTAGAGTGCCATACAAACACCATACCAATCTCAAAAAGCAGAATGACAGAGTTGGAAGGGACTTTGGAGGTCTTCTTATCCAACCACCTGCTCAAGCAGGAGACCCTATACTTCTATCCAGCCGAATAGGATTTCTGTTTCTGCTTTTGCTTCTTTGTAGCTTGCCATGCCATCCAAATTTAGAAAAACACCACTTAACATTAACTATGATTAATCTGACTGAGTCAGATTCAAATTATTGTTTATAAATCTGGATCCAAACTAATCAATCTAGTCAATCAAATGAGTCAATCACATATTTCAGGTTGGCAAACTGATGTTAGTCTTTACAAAATCTTCTGTTTACATTTTAATCCAATGTAACCTTCTTTTAAAAGTCTAGAAGTATTATATTATGTATTTATAAATTAACATGGCAATTGCTTTAAATACTTATTTTAACCCTTTCCCCACCACAAAATATTGGTGGGGAAATCCTCAGCTATGTTCTATTACTTCTCAGGAATCTTAAAATGTAACAGAATTGGCCATAAGGATGCTAAAAAGACCTACAGTGTGGTATTTAGCTATTAACAATTTTCTAATGTTGCTATATTTAATATCTGGAAAAACTCCAAATTCCAAAAAAAGCTGACTTCAATTTCATAACACTGAAACTCTAGTTAAATAACCAGAGTGCAAAGCATATGAACATATTGCATTCATTTAAAGTGACCCTATTAAAAACAAAGGTGGAGTAGGATGTAAGTGCCGAGTAAAGGTATGAACAATTTAACTAATCCTTATGTATACGAGACCTCACCAATAATGAGTCATATTAAAGAAACACAATGCCTAGAGTCCACCCTGATTTAATTACAAGTTAAATTCTTGGGCATAATGGAACATATTTGAACAAAATCAGTGAAATATCACTTTCAAATTATTTGTTGTTGGTTTTTTTGCATTAAATTTTAAACTATTGATACTAATTGCATAAAACAGCTATTTTATTTAGAAGATCTTGTAGACCTTCTATTGACTGGTCTGGTAACATTAGTAATAAGTAGTAAAACTACAAGTAGGTTTTTATTCCTGCAACTGCCCACTCGGGTACAAGGACCAAGAGCTTGTGACTATTTTAATATGTTTAGTTTTATAACTTTAATATGTTTTTGTATGTTGTTTTAACTTGTGATTGTGAACCACCCAAAGATGGTTATAAGATGGGTAGCTATATAAATGTTTTAATACAATAATAAATTTAACATAAGAAAGAATGGGAACTGTTTAGCTGCAATACTACAGTAAAACATCAGCACATACACCTGCATTATATTGTGGATGCTCCTTTTGTTGGTTCATTCAGAGTTCTTCTTTAATTCAAAGTTTTAAATTACTCTTATCTGAATCTCTGGCATGTTTAATTTCAAGGATAAGTTTGAACATTGTGACCATAACCGTTACCAATTGTTATACAAAACAAGATTTTAAACTGTCCAACTTTCTTGTTTTTCTTTACTGCATCCAGATTACAGGTAGCTTGTTAAAATGTGTGAATATCTTTGTATCTAAATATGTGATCTTACAAATAATAAAAAATATACTCTCAGGGGCCCTTGGGATTACTACCATCTTCAGGTTCTATTTTTATACATAATTTTATTAGAGACTTGAATATAGATAAAATACCAACAGAAAAAATAGAAAAAAGAAAAAGTGCAGGAAAACAAGAACGAAAGGGAGAAAAACATAAAGAAGTATCTTCCAACAGTTACAAACAAACCTATTCGTTCTCCTCACTCTTTAAGATTATATTACATGGTTCCTTTCTTCCCGAATAAAACCCTATTTAATTGGCAAATGCATAAGTCATCTTCTCTTCAAATTCCTTGATAGAGAAATATGTACCAACTTCTATATTAATGAATTCCTTCATGCTAATTTAAGTGCAGGTAGGATGTGAATGCCTGCCACCAGACTAAACTTTCATTTGTTATACAATTTAACCTTAGCTATCTTAAATGAAGCACTAATTCAAGATGGAAGGACTACAATATCTGAATTCAATTAAAGCAGAAGTTTGTTTCCCTAAACCATATAAAATTTGCCATACACCAATGCCTTCTATAGGGCATTTTGTTAGTACTAGTCACCTAACACACATAATGCATCCAGCTCATTAAAAACACATGTAATTAAATATGTTTAAATTTTGATCTTCTGCTTTTGAATACTGTATCCAACATGGATTTGGTGCTAATGACATCTGAGCACACTCCAAAATGACTGGGATTTCTGGTGGCATATGAAAAGCAGAGACTTGTATGTCCTCAATCCGCAGCACAAATTTGGAATCAAGTGCTAACTGAAAGTCCATTTTAATTATGAGTTAATTATTTAGCAATGTCTTGCCAGGTGTCTTAACAATAAAATCCCTGTATGACCTCGTGTTTCCCCCCTTAAAAAATAATTAAGAGAAAGCAGTTACCTAACTAATACTTCCAGTCAAACCTGCTGCAAGATCCCAGTCATAGTGACCCTGATAACAAAGTTGTCTTAAAATATTAAAAATTATGCTATACCTATAAAGACGTTAAATCCTAAGAACTGGAGAAGTGGAAGCATAGAACTAAATTCAGCTTTGTTAAGCAGCAGTCCTCTAGAGATCTGAAGTCCCTGCAAGAGTACCTCTGGTTTGGTAGAACTAAAACCAGAACTCTTCCTACTTGGCATTACCATACAAAAATATGATAAAGGGACACTCTACCTAATGCTACACATCTTCACGGCCGCCAGACTGACCTATGCACAAAATTGGAGAAACAAAGAAATTCCTACTGAAGAAGAGATTCTACAAAAAAATTTATCGTGTGCGGACATGGACAGGCTAACTATGGAACTAAAGGACAAGGCAGAAACGGACTATTTTGGAATCTGGGACAAATTTTACTGCTGGTATGAATCAAGAAGAACTGTTCGGGTTTTGAGTTAAAGTTTAAGTTTGTGGTATATAAAATTATATGTTAATATATAGAGAAACAAGCTCGAGATTGTATAATATTGTATTATATAGGGGAATATATGTATATATATAGAGAGAGAGATGTATATATATAACTTTAAATATGATAAGGAACGAATTGTTAGGATTATATATACTGGAATGTCATGTCATGTCCTTTTTTGTTTTAATTGTTTTATTAATAAAAAACTTAAAAAAAAAAAGAGTACCTCTGGCTTAGCTCACTTGGTAAGTTCCATATGGAGCATGTGCTCTGTAAGTATATTGGACAGTAGCACGCACTTTCTCTACAGGGGAAATATGCATAACCAACCACATGCGATGCAAATAAGGTGACTTTCAGAAATGTGTTTGAAAACAGTTTTAAATAACAGCTGGCCTACACACATACCTGGACAGTTGGACTGAGCACTATAGAAATGTTTTGGATATTCATTTTTGTTTCTAGCTCCTTTGCAATGACATGGTCCATATGCACAATCAGCCAGGAAATCAAGAGAAAGTTACATTCTGGTAGCTCTTTCAGGAGGCGCTGGCATTCCTGCCGTTTCTCGGACTCCAGGCTCTTCCCACAAGCATCTTCAAAGCGAGGCATCAGCTCTTTGGTAAGCAGGTTTTCAGGAAGTTCACGCAGGTATTGTTTCAACAAGCTAGCTACTGTGTTGGGCTCATAGTCCTCTAGATTAGGGGATTCTTCTCGGTCATATGCTGCTTTTAACTCATCCACCTTTGATTTAATTCCTTAAAAACATTTAGAATGATTTTTAAATCCTTCGAGAATAAAAAAGAGTTATAGTTCAATATTTTTCTGTCATCTCAATAAACAGTATCACTTGTTACATTTGTTACACTTGTTACACTTTTCATCTGAGAACTCCCAAGAATTCACATGGTCTACCCCTGGGGTAGGCAAACTCGGCTCTTTTATGACTCGTGGACTTCAACTCCCAGAATTCCTGAGCCAGCACGGCTCAGCTTGGAAACCTCTCTCTTTCCCCTCAGCATGGCTGGCTCAGGAATTCTGGGAGTTGAAGTCCACGAGTCATAAAAGAGCCGAGGTTGCCTACCCTTGGTCTATCCTGTCTAATGTTCTCACAGTTACAATATATGACAGGGGTCCTCAACCCCCAGTCTGGGGACCAGTACTGGGCCACGGCTTGCCAGCAACCAGGCCGCACAAACAAGCAAAGCCCCATCCGTGGGATGCAGGCAGCACACAAAACCACGCCACCTCCGGTCTGCAAAAAAACCTCTCTCCACGTAACCAGTCCCTAGTGCCCAAAAGGTTGGAGACCTCTGATCTATGAGATTGTTAAGGATAAGGTGAGAGAGAATGACTGAACGGGAATCTCTTCCTAAGAAAAATGGTTAGATGGGAATTTGAACCTAGCTATTTCAGTAGCTATTCTATCCGCAAAAGATAGCACAAAATTGGTGATGCCCTTTGAATGGCAAATAATTATAAAACCAACCTAAATCCTACCAAAATTCAGAGAAACACACTTACTCAGTAATACCATTTTGCTTACAGGATTCTATCTCCAGCTACTATTTAAAGCTCATCCAGTCCTCCTGTACAATACTCAATACAGTATTGGTTTTCCATCCTATCTTCCTTCTGGAGAGTAACACATTCCTGGGCCCAAATCACATAAAACAATGGTACATAAGGGCTGAAAGTGAGGGCAAATAAAAAAGTGCAATGGAAGAAAGATCTGGCCATCTCTCATTGATAAAAAAAAAGGACAGAAGGAAAATAGAGAGAGACAGGATGATACTGTAATTTGTTGAAATTTCAGAATTCTCTCCATCCCTTTAAATTAGAAACTCGGCCTAAAAATATTCTTTGCACATATCAATTGTCAAAGAAGAGAGTCTCTTCCTCTATGACCCGCATAATAATACGGGAGGCTAGCAGAGAGGGAACAGATCACTCTAATCAGGGGTCCTCAACCTTGGCAATTTTAAGACCCCTGCTCTAATCCTTTTCAAAGGTTCTAGACCAGGAATCTTCAAACATGGCCCTTTTATGACTTATGGACTTCAACTCCCAGAATTCTTCAGTCAGACATGCTGGCTGAGGAATTCTGGGAGTTGAAGTCCACAAGTCATAAAAGGGCCAAGTTTGAAGACCCCTGTTCTAGACTCTTAGCAGTCTACTAACTTTTATGGGCTTAACTAAAAGGTTATTATAATCAAACAAATTGGTTTCCTTATGTCATTTGAATTTTATGTAATTCCCGATTCTTATATGTATTTTTCTTCAAGCCTAGATAAAGAGCAACACTTAATTATTACTGAGAGAAGCAAGCTTTCTGCTATGCTCAGGCAGCATACAAGCTGCTATCCTAAAAACAAAAGACCAATCATTCTCCCAACCAGTCCTATCTTTTTTCTAAGCACTGGATACACACTGTCCCAGTGGTAGTGACATTCATATCTGTGGTATTCTAGTGTCAAAGCTGTGCATATAATATACTGTGCTTGCAAAGTATTTATTTTCAGTGCAGTTTTGTCTTTATTCTCTGCTTCTGCATTACATGAATATTGCTGGCATTGGGTCTCACACAAGTGGCATTGGCAATTTGAAGCACAGCTATACAATTAAATAACTCACTCAAATCACTGTTAATTGTAAGTGTGTCAAAGTTACACAAGTACTATGAATGCTAATTATCTTGGTATTACTACCAGGATATTTTCTTCAAATCTTAGCTAAAAAAATTAACTGCTGCTTGGCACTTTCTCTGTGTTTGAGGGCACCTACTAATGAGAAGGAATTCCTTCATCAAAGCTGAAGCATAGGGAGAAGACACAAATTAATGAACTATTCTCTGCCTGCTTAAGTTTTTGACAAATCGGTACTTATTAGCAATGTACCTTCTTACCCTGTATAAATCAAAATATTTATTTATTTAATCAATTTATATGGCTACACACCTCAATAAATAAATGACTTTAGAGAGCTAATAGTCTTAAAAATAAGCAAATACATCTATAAAAAGTAAAAATTACACAGCAAACATGCAAAATCATAACAACTATGAGCAGAGCCAGGAAATGGGCTCCTTCACACACTTGGGGTCCCAAGCAAACATCCTCGAGGATAAATCCTAGCAGACACAGGATACAAAACTTATTTAAAAATATATGAAACTTCCTATATATATTTACGCTATTGGCCTTTATACTGTCTTGCACAGAACTTTCTGCATGGAAAACACACACATTATAATTGAGGTACAGTCCCTCTCCATGAATTATAGATACTAATACATTGCTATACTAACTTTAAATTAATTAAACCAACACCATCCTACTGACATGCAGAGCAAAATGACCAATGCAGCTGCAAAGTGCTCAGTGCCAATTTCAAAGTCTGAACTGCACTTATCAAAGATGGCAGGTGGCAAGCAATGCTGTTTCAAAATCAAAAGTCACCCTGGTGATGAATTCTTTACCCTCATCTGTGGAACAGTGGGTTAACCAAACTAACTTTCAAAACACATCTATTAAATAAGCCACTGAAACGTTTTAAAATATATAAACACGTTTGTGATTCTTCCAATCACAATTAAGTCAGAACTAATAATAAATTTCAGGTAAGCGTAAACCCTTTTTCATTTAGGGAAGCATCCTGAAGACAGAAATACGATGGAATTTAAAAAATCATGAATCAGCAAAACCTCATCAGGCACATGAAATCTACCTGCAGGTGAGCCACTGTACCTGACACTCTGTAGATGCCTTCGCATTTCATGCCATGTTTTTCTACATAATCTATACATTCCCGGAACACTGCTGGTAGACGGATGCCATCATATAGCATGGTTCTTTCTGCTGCATCACTCAAAGGGACCCCAAACACAGGCCTGTGCCTAGGAACATACACCGGTGGCATTTCTACCTCCTGAAGTGTTTTTTTCTTTTTCTTCTTCTCTTTCCATTGTTTGACAACATCTGCTGCCGTCAAATCTTTTGATTTCTTCTCTTTGTGCTTCTCTTCCTTGTGCTTGTCCTCCTTATGCTTTTCGTCTTTGGGTTTTTCTTTTATCTTAAAGTCTTTTTCCTTCTTTTTGGAGAAACTTGGCTTCTTAAAAACATGAATCCCTTTAGAGCGTTTTAGCTTAGAAGGACTTTCAGCTTCATCCCCTGAGCTATCTTCCTGAAAAGCTGCATAACCTTCCGCTGTTGGGAGGGGTGGGGGGGGAAGGAAGAACAGAAATAAAACCAGATGTTTAAGCTTATGTGTAAGAAAAAAAGCTAGTGCTAATGTGCTATTATTCAAAACACACACTTTTCTGCAGAACTAAACAAGTCAAATATTAGGAGTTTGGCACATTTTCCTTTCTGAGAAAAATCAGATCAGTTCATCTCTTGATTATTTACTGACTAGTCCACTTGGAATAGCAATGCAATTTTTTAATAATTCTGAAAACATCCCACTTGAGTCTAATGTTATTAGGCTAAGAACTGTAACTTCATCACAGAATAAAATCTTGTATCAAAGTGAATAGAGAACTGATGTACAGAATAAGGGCCAGTATAAATGACACACAATGCCCTCCATTTAAAATCTTAAAAAGATAATGCCAAGGTTATTTTCAGCTCTTAGTTGATTTCAAAAATCAAGGAATGGGGAAAGCAGTTTGTAAAAAAATCTCTGTACTCCTACATTACTATAATTATCATGATCCTAAATCAGTACTTTGCAAGCACATTTAAAAAAAGTTGTTGAAAATTGCAAAGAATATAATTCCAACCTAACTCACTCAATCACTTTCTTTTTCTTTCTTTTTCAAATATTAAACCAGGCGTTCTAGAATATAGATATATTAATGTGCTTAGGCCCATTCTTTAAAAAGAAAGAAAACTTACTTTTCAATTCGGTTGGCAAAGCCATCCCAAGCATCCTGTCTCTTTATAAACTACTCCTGCTCAAGTGGATGATAGAAACTGTACATGTGATTACAGTTCCACAGCCATAAGACAAACTTAGCTCTTATGTGAATTACCAAGTTCTTTACAATCTTTGAAATATACGCATAGGTGTCTAATAACCGATACCTCCTCTATAACTAGCCCCGCCTAACCTGTAGGTAGCAATGGGAAAATCAGTTTTAAACAAACACATACACCTATAATTAATTTCAACACAAATGCTATGATATAAGGCAGTGCTTCCCAAACTTTTTTCCTTTGTTACCCCGAACCACTTATCAGAAAGCCCTTTTTACCCAATGTAGGTAAAACACTTTAAATCAATTTAGATGTCCTTGTTATCACTAGGTAATAGGTCTCTGATTACCTAAAGAAACACCACTTTTACCCAATTTTCAGTAATTTACACAGGTTTGAAAAGCACTGATATAAGGAAAATACAAGGAAAAAGCTGAACGCAATGAAAATTTTCAGGCTATTCAAAGTTGTTTTCATACTTCAGAAAATTCTAACAATGGACTGCTGATTAATAAAAATAATATTGCACTATAGCCATTTAAAATGATCAGAACATTTGGTTCTTCGATATATATATAAAGCTAGCCATTAGCACAAAAAGATATTACTTTGAGAGGATATCATATTACTATTCCCACATGGAAATACTTTTCATTTAAAAACTATGAAAGCATTTCCATTTTACAGCTGTTTAGAGTCTGACAACTGAAAAGCCAGGGCTTGTCCTGGTTAAAAAAGTTCCTCAAAATATATATCAATTTCTTCATGCTTAAAGAACAGCTGGTTATTTTAAAACATGGATATCGTCAACATTGAAAGTGAAGTAATAAATAAAGAATAAAGAACATTTGACAAAGAAACTGGGTCATTAAAAAAAAGACAATTTTTCTTAAAGTGACCTACTTCTTTTCTCCTTTTTCTTAAATTTCCCTTTCTTCTTCCCATGTTCTTTCTCATCATCAGACACAATATCAGGAGGTTCGTGGAGGCTGTCATGAGGCGGTGAAGGCTCACTCGTGCGATATAAACCAGGGAATTTCGTTGGGCTGATTTCTTCAGAGCTTGGAGTCCTGGCCAGACTTCCACCATGCTCTACCCTGCGGTGTTCGCTGGGACTGCTTGTGGGGGGCAGGAAGCACTCTGTCATTCTTACTCTCTGACACCACAGCAGAAGAGTATCCTGTTACCTGTCCATTACTCCTGCAACAAGAACACAATCTGAAACCCTCCAAATATTCTCAGGGACAAAAAGATGTTTTCAGTGCTGCATGGGACAACAGGCTCATGCAGCACGTAGTACTTGCATCAAGCTGCAAATGTAGACAACCGTAAATTTAATTATCACTTTAAGCAACAGAATTTCAATTTGTAAACAGCAGATTCATATAACATCCTGACTGGTATAAATGCTGTGATAAATTTTCTTTCCATGTTTCGGAGTTTCACATAGATTTGTTCTTTGGACCACAAGTGCAACCTGCATATGATAACGATAGAAAGCCATGAAGTGACCTTGCTTTGCTATGGGATGACCATAATCAGAAATATTTCCTGCTGGGAACAGAACGAGTTGGGGATTTGTTAGCAGGCTGCAAAATTGGACCTCAAAAGACACATTTACCACGTGGACTATAAGATGCCCATCCCTTTGTCAAAAATGAGCAGGAATCCCACTACTTTTTTCCGCATTATTTTTTATTAAATATATCAGGAAGACGTATCAAGAAAACCAACATATAGCCATCACCTCATAACTTTAATTACCTCCTGGCAGATTCTCAGGATTAATTAATCCATGGAAATTCTCAGCTTACGCAATATACTAAACCTAATCAACAGCTTTAATCAGAAAAGTATAATGGCATTCTTGATGAAACTGGCAGGAATAATATATTAAGCTCATTTGTACTGTACTTACCATAATTTAAATATACCCTTCCACCACTTCCCAAGCATTTTATTCTTTTCCAGGCAATCCCCTTGTATTAATTTCATTAAGTAGCCTTGAAACTAAAGACCTCTTAACACAGAGCTATTATTTAAGTTAATAAGAATAAATTGCATTAGGAATGGAATAATTCTACAATTCATCTTATATACAGTATAGGTAGGCAATTAATAGGTACAAATTCCCAAATATAATCATTCTTCCCTCGGCCCTTCAAACTGCCATCATCTAGTGCTCCAAATTGTTGTCACTGTCAAAACAATAAGCCAGATCCATGTTGGGTCTCCTGAATGCCAGAACCGAGATCCAGCATATGAAGGAAAAAGCAAGCAAGATTTTCTTGGTAGTTCTTCCTTCCTTATATTGCCTTGCTCCACTAGAAATGTTTCCCAGCTGTCTGTAGCAGTTTTTCAGAAGGAATGGGCAACTGCAAGAGAAAACATGAAGACCTGCCTACCTTATTGCTACTCTGATTTAAGCTACTGGTGAAATCCCATGAACAAATGCTAATACAAAGAATAACATTGCAACACCATGTCTCTCCCCTCTCTTCTGAGATTCTTTGGAATGATAAGGAGCAGAGCTACTTCCAAAGCGTTTTTTCATTCCTTCGCTGGAATTTGAACTGGATGAATATTTGTATACAGAAATTTAAATAAATACAATAAATAAATCTCTAAAAACATCATAAATGCATTGCAGTATTCACCAAATATACTAGGGAGCAACTGCTTCTAAAAGCAGATCCATAACATCTATTTGAGAAAACATATTCTCAATGTACATGTCATTTATTTTTATTCTTCCTTTATTATTTTTATAAATAAGTCAAGGCAGCAAACATACCTAATATTCCTTCTTCCTCCTATTTTCCCCATAATAACAAACTTGTGAGGTGAGTTGGGCTGAGAGTGTGTGACTGGTGCTAGGTCACCCAACTGGCTTTCATGCCTAAAGTGGGACTAGTACTCACAATTTCCTGGTTTCTACTTGATGCCTTAGCCACTAGACCACGGGTAGGCAACCTTGGCTCTTTTATGACTTGTGGACTTCAACTCCCAGAATTCCTGAGCCAGCCATGCTGAGGGGAAAGGGAGAGGTTTCCAAGCTGAGCCATGCTGGCTCAGGAATTCTGGGAGTTAAAGTCCACAAGTCATAAAAGAGCCAAGGTTGCCTACCCCTGCACCAGACCAAACTAGCTCTAATATATGTGTCAATGCTCCACTGGTATTTTAAAATATATTTTAAATGTAGATCATTGGGGGTTGCCTTTAGCAAATCTGCAAAGCGGAGTACAAATGCTTATATTAGATAAATAACTCCCACACAATGACATCACAGCAAATTAGCAATGGTGCACCTCAGGGCAGCCAAAATCTTGACCACTTTTATCTTCCTAGTTTTCCCCATTTTGAAGCTGGGATTTGTACATATGAAATAAAAATTGGAAATTCGATATAACTACTGCAACTGGCAGAAGACACAACATCTGTCTATTTAGAAACATCTTTCAAAATGTCTGCTAAAGTTTTAAAGCCAAAAATAATCCCGGTAGATATTCAAGTTTTTTTCCCACTATCTTTTCAAAGGCGTTCCAAAACTATTCTAGGCTCCAATGCATCCTTTCCCTTCATGTTAATTTTAAGGTGGGGTAGAGATTCATGAAGCAGTATAATACACGATTATAATGTAGACCTTTAATTTTCCAGTCATTTACTTCAACTGCAGAATATAGTGCTTATTTTAAGGCAAACCATGACTTAGATAGGAAATTCTTGTTTTGATTACAATTAATTTACATCCACGCAAGCCAGTCTGAAAATAAAGTACGTTTTTCAACAGAAAGAATAAAATGTCTCAAGTGTACACTATGTGCTGGTAGAACAAGTTTTCATTCCAAAAACCAGTATCATGGGATAAAGATAATCAGGCAATTCATTGTTCCCACATGAATCACAATCACACTTCAATTACTATTAGTGAAAGGATTTCTGATGCAAGTTTCACAGGCAAAGCAGATACCAAACCGCACATGATGCAAGAGGTATCTCTGCACTCTCCTTACCGTCAGGGCTAGTGACAGCTTGTTAGAGAAATTCTAACAAGTGTGTGTGAAGTAAATGTATTAATCTTTCCCTCCTTTGGCAATGCTATTCTAAAGATCTGTGTGGCTATTTTAAAATGAAATAAAGAAAAAAGGAGCGCAAATCAAAATTCTCCTCTATTTTATGCAGCCTGAAAGTTGTCTGCATTTCCAATCTGGTCAGGCTGAACAGGTTGCTAGTCCCTCTGTTACTTCTAAGACAGATACACTGCCACCACTTGTCTTTATCACTACTAAACCTCAGCTGGACAACCCAAGAATCTAAGACTAAAGCAGAGGTTTTCCACACCTTTCCTATTTTCTCTTTAATATCTGGATAATAGTATGTTCCTCCAGTATTGTACCATATGGACAAGAGTCTCAGGCTGGTAAAAAATGCTAAGATCAACTCCAGCTGAATAAATGTCAGAGATCAATGAAGATCACATGCAGAAGTCACCTTCAATCTCATGACCCAAATACCATCACTACATAGAGTTTATTTTTGCAGCGTTGCTTTTTAATGGGGCTTTTTTTCCTGATAAAACACTCAAAACTTACGATGGTATATTTATTTAAAAGAGTTATACCAAATCTTTTATAGTCTAAAAATCCCCTGAATGTTAAAAAAAAAAATACACTCCCAAATTGAGCATATTTTGTTCAAGTCTGCTAAATAAAAATCCTTTACATTGATGTAATGGATTCTCATTTAATGGATTTCGGGCATAACAGACAGGTAACAGACTAAATTTCCAACAGATATCCTCCAGAAATAACAGACATGTCCCTTGCATCTGAAGTAGTCCAGACAAGGGCGTTAAATTTGTTAATCATCCTTAATGTTATGACACTGCCAACAACGTATATGATTTGCGTATTATTAATATTAATATTAATATTAATATTAATATTAATATTAATATTAATATTAATATTAATATTTTATATTATATTATATTATATTATATTATATTATATTATATTATATTATATTATATTATATTATATTATTATATTATATTACATGCCCACACACACACGCCACATAAACATTTCCTCTGACCTGTTTCATATTCTCAATTTGTTATTAAACAATTGCATTGACACTGAAGGGTGAAGCCGACTTCTCCAGCACTGCATTCAGGGAACATATGTGTCTGCAATTCGGGGACGGTTGCACAGGTGCTCCACTTATATTTCTGCAAAGGTAACATTCTGGCTAGGGGGCACTCAAATGGCAAAGCACAGAACAGGCCCAATCAGCAGGGATGTGCATTTCCACATAATGCGCAGTTGGGATTTGGGAGGTGTGTGCGCTGGCCTGTCCGTAGCCATCTTCAACCTACACTTACCCATCAACCCCTTCACAGCATAGGTATACAGCAGTGTTTCTCAACCTTGACAATTTTAAGGCATGTGGACTTCAACTCCCAGAATTCCACAGCCAGCAATGCTGGCTGTGGAATTCTGGGAGTTGAAGTCCACATGCCTTAAAATTGTCAAGGTTGAGAAACACTGGTATACAGGAACTCCTATAGGCAGTTGCAGGCAACTCTAAATCAGCCTTCAGAAGGTCACAGACACTTTTCATGCAGTTTGCCAATAACTCATCAGACAATTTAGTTGTATCATTAGAAGTCTATTTCAAATGTTACTTCAGAAAAAAAATAAATATTGCATTTTCTATTGGGACTTTCTGGGACTGAACTGCATAAAAACATAATTACTCATTTCAATTTTCCCCAGTTATGCAGCTGCAAGCTTTCCTTGATTCTCAGATGCTTGTTTTTGATAGTATGTATGTCATCTCTATTCTACACATAATATGTGGAATTCATTTCCATGCATTGTAATGATGGCTAGTAATTTGGATAGGTTTAAAAAAGTAATAAATAAACCAATAGAAAAACATCTATGAAGTGCTATTCTTAAGACATCTAGGTAGATGAACAATTCCACACAATGCATCTATCTATGACAGAGGATACCCAAAGGGCCCATTCAGCCACAGTTCAATATTTCTAAGGCCTCAATCCTAAATAAAGCGTAGTACATAGATACTGACCACAATAAAATCTAAAAGTGGGCTGTGCCAGTATCTGGAAAGGGAAGTATGTATTATCTTATTTGGTAGTCAAGATGTTTATTATGACTGCCAAGTTTCTGTTCCTGCCCTTTTTCTGTCCATCTGGCTAAGGTGAAGTTCCATGTAGCAGTTTCAAGAAAAAAGGAAATAATCAGGCTAATTCTGGCCAATACTCAGCAAATGCATTCAAAACAAACAAAAATGTTTGACAAAAAATTTTCTTCTCGTTTTATTTTTAAAAGCATGCTCCAATGTCTCTCTTCCAAAAGCAGCTATTGCTCTAAACACAACATGCAACACAAATGTAGGATGAGTATTTAAGCACACGACTTTCACATCTGCTTTAGCCTGAAAATAGAGTTTTAATGATGGCCAAAAATACATGTAAAACTGAACATGCATGAATTTCTCCTCAAAAGGGTGTAATAAGTTAAAATGTTTGCACAATGCATACTATGCAGTGAAGAAAGTTGATTTAAACAATATTAGTATAGGAATGTTCTTTCTTGACTGCAATTCTGATATCACTAGAGCTTTAAGAAAGAAATCCAACTATGAGGCTATAGCAACAGGGAAACCTTGGTAATGTATTAACCAGGTTAAACTTTAGAAAAGCTACTGCTACTTATAATATACTCACTCTGTGGAACCTGAGCAATTATGCAGTGGGGGCGAGTAAATCTGACAACACGATCAAGCAGAACAATATAAATACATGTATATTAAAAATCCCTTTCCTTATAAAATTCTTCATGATATTAACTGCTATAAGGAATAGTCTAATTCTAAATTAAAATAATAATATAGCTAAAGTAGTAGTAATAGTGGTATGAGTTCCAGTGTTGTGGAACTCTAGTACTGTGGAGTTTTACATGTATTATGCTGCTGAAAATTAGCAAAGGCAATCTAGAAAACCCATAAAACACCACAAGATTACATAATTTAATGAAAACCTGAACATCATAATAATACAGGCAACAATACAATTATTAGATTAAAAACTATAAACAATACTGCTACAGCAGGGCACTTCCCAACTATAGCAATTCAATTTGTATCTTATTATTCTATTATTATTCTAAATGGATTTAAACTCTATTTATGAAATTCAAAGAGCACAAACAATAATCAAAATACCATAGACATAAAATGATAATATTTACAATTACAACATCAAATGAAGATAAATTTTAAAAAGGAAATATTTATGTATCAAAAACCTTGGACCAGATAAGTGTTTCTAGCCCATCTCTGAAGAGAGAGAACTGGGAGGAGATTTTAATTATATCAGAACAGAAAGAAGGCCTCTTAGACAAATAACAAGCTTCAGATAGGATTAGGAAAGAGATTACTATTATTAAAATACCCTTGTTCTAGACTACTTAAAGTTTTAAACTAAGCTAAACAGACAAATGTGTTTAGGACTGACAATATGGTCAAATGAACATATGGCAAGCTACTTTTTTCCCAATTTATGTTGTTGACAATTTTCAAAAGAGTTTTGTAGTAATCTAACCTGGATATACCGTGTTTCCCCAAAAATAAACCCCACCCCCCAAAAAAGACCTACCCTGATTTGTGGGGGTGGACCTAATATAAGCCCTACTCCAAAAATAAGCCCTAATTAGGACCCCACCCACTCAGTCCCACCTGGCTGCTGCAATGGGGCAGGAGGCCGCGTGGCACATCACACCGCTGCCATGAGGTGAGGCACTTGGGGAAGGTGGTGGAGTTGCCCCACGCACCCCGCATCCGCTTCCTTCAGCCCCCCCCCAGCCAAGCCATTCCTTGCTCCCTTTCACTCCCCTCCCGAGCCGGACTGCCATGGTACTGTATGGAGGATGGCCGGAGTAGGCCTGGTCCCCTCCACCGTTTCAGAGCCAGGGGGGAGTGACAGCAAAAGGCTCCGCTGCCACTGTGCGTCGCTGGAGGGGCTTTCTTCGTGCTCCGCCCCACAGATCACCTGCCCGGTGGCACTTGCCTCCTTCTTCTCCGTCAACTCTCTCGTGGTTTGCATAGTGACCGGCCTCCCCCGCCGCCTCCCTCTACCAGCCCTCTGTCACTGCCACTGGAGAGAACAGAGAACGGGAAGCGGAATGGCTGCAGAAGTGGGCCAGCAGCCATGCGGGCTCCTGTTGGATGGGGCTGTTTGTGCCGCCACCAGGAGGCAAGTGTCATGAAAAATATAAGACACCACCTGAAAGTAAGACCTAATGCTTCTTTTGAAGGCAAAAATAATATAAGACCGGGTCTTACTTTTGGGGAAACACAGTAGTTAGAAAGCAAATAACTGAAACCAAGTTCATCTTCTTTACAATAGACAGCACTTGATGAATCAGCCTAAATTATTAGAAACAAACAAAAACAATATCCAGGCCATAGCTACCTATCTAGGGAAAGCACAAGATGTATTAGTTGATTATTAACAATTGATCATAATAAAGGACACAGAACACAGATGCTAAAATAGATGTCATGTGAGACAAGACAGATAAATATACTCTTATCATTCAGTCACACCTATTCTGTATCTGCTGCTAACTATACAATGGTAAGACTTCGAGAAATGTAACTTATGTTAATAAAAGCTTCTCTTCAATACACAAAAATGGTGTGAGACTGTAGGTCTATAAATAAATACAAATGACCCAATATATCAGAGTATATCAAAGGAACCAAAGATAACAGATGATATACATACTTATATATCATTAATGAGGGAAAGGCTTGGAAGTAGTAAAAGGTTTAAGCAAAATGTAAGTAGGACGGAGAAAGGAATAAAAAGAAAGGAATAGTGAACAAAGCATTTTCCACCATAACATGACATTTCAGTCTAAGTAACACATATTACCAGCATTGCTTTACCTGTTAATATTTTCCCTATTAATTTCTCTCACACTAGCCAGAGGACCTCTTCCTCATAACAAACACAAACAATCGCTTTGGCAGAATCAATTACATTATTTATTTCAATCTCACATTCCATGACAGATTAAAAAAAAAGAGTAGGACAAACTGCATTTGGAACTAGTGATTGTAGGCCATGAACAAATACACACATATGTGGAACCTTGATGTTCACAGATTCAAATACAGCTTGCATTGCACATTTCCACAATTTTTAATGACAGGAGCTGCTGTCACAATGACTGCAAAATGCATACTCGTGAATCAGTTTAAGAATATTCCTTTTGTTTAATTATCTTAAATGTGGCAGACAGAAGATCTGAACAGTGACACATAAAATTACAAAACGTGTACTTTTAAATATATCTAATAACTGAAATTGCTACTGGGATTCTCTCAACAATCCCTCGTCAAACATACTGTTGCATGCCTGTTTTTTTCACAAAATTAACCAGAAGCAGTAAACAGACTAAGCAACTAGTTCAGTGGTTCTCAACCTGTGGGTCGGGACCCCATTTGGGGTCGATCGACCATTTCATGGGGGTCGCCAAGCAAGGCTGTCCGCCATTTTTTTTGTCCATTTTTTCCCCCTTTTTTGGCGGGTGCCTTACCTCCCTTGGGCTGGGCCAGCTGGTGGTCGGCCTGCTCCATCTCTGCCGCTTGCCAGCTACAGCCAGCGCAGCAGGCGGAACCACGCATGTGCAGCGCTCCCGGGCAGGGAAAGTCCTCGACTTACGACCGGTTGGGTAGTCCTCGACTTACGACCGGTTTAGTCCTCGACTTACGACCGGTTGGGGTCGCGGCATTAAAAAGGTTGAGAACCACTGAACTAGTTGTTTTAGATTACAATCCAACCAGCTTTACTGTTGCTCAGGAGTACATATGAACCACCTGATGACTATGAATTAATTACCAGGCACCATATTTTTCCTGCCTACTGCTTTTCACATTTACATCTAGCAAAGGATTCTGGAAGTTACAGTCCCGTGTATCTGGAGGCAACCTGGCCCTTCTGACTAGAGCCACAGAGTCGTCCACAAATTCATCGTCGAAGTCTGGTGCCCTTGAGCAATGGGCAGAGAAATCCGAGTGAGCAATGATAAATGGCAAGCGGACTGCAGAGCATTCATTCAAAGTTTGATTCCCAAGTAGAAATGCAACCTGAAAGCATTTGAATGTGGCACATAAAAACCCCAGGGCAATTGCGTCGCATCTCCGGAGGCACCCCAACATCTGAGCAAACGGGGTGCGCTGGAAATGACAGCGCAAGTTCCAACCACAACTCCGGGCGCTGTAAGGAGCTGAGCACGCATGCGCACTCCAGAGCACGCGTCAGCTACTGCCCATCCCCATCGTGGTCACCGAGGGGCGGCCTCCCTCGTCGGGAATGTAACTTCGGTGGAAAAGAACCCGGAATATGGGAAGGCCATGCATGATCTTAACACTGACCTGAGGAATGGGAAGAGGTATCATGCCGCTCGCACAACGGCTGTGCTAACTTCACCTTCTACCCGGCATCATTCAAACCTCGCTCTGCACTCCAACCCGACGTTGTCTGCTTGCAAGGTCGGGTATAGGAAACAGAAAGGCGCATGCGCGGTCACCCTTTTCTCCGTATTTCTTGTTGTTTCTTCCAGCCCTTTGGCTACCTAGGGTAGAGGCCGGAATTAAGCGCGCAAGCGCGTGACGTACAGGGAGGGGCCATCATAATGACTGAGCGGCCGATCTTCTCTGGAGGATCAAAGAAGGCAGGCGGAAGCGTTGCGCCTGCGTGCTCATTCTCCCTGCTATGGTTTATGTGGAGTAGGCCAGATCCTGACTTATACCCTCTTCCCTATGGTGCATTTCGAGAAATGTAGCCTTTCTCCACCTAAGTCCAAGCAGGAGGGACGAGAGAATTTTGAATTGGGATTACTTGTGTGCTTGAACTACATTTGGGAATTGAGGCTGATTTGAGGATGGCGAAAACACGTTCAGGATACAGGCCCACGTCTTCAATGTGCCTATCTAGTGATTAAAGCCGTGTTGTGTTTCCTTACTGGGCCTTATTCCTTACTGAAGGTGCATTTAGACCAGTATTTTTCAACCTTGGCAACTTTAAAATGTATAGACTTCAATTCCCAGAATTCCCCAGCCAACATGCTGGGTTGAGAATTCTGGGAGTTGAAATCAACACATCTTAAAAAGTTGCCAAGTTTGAAAAAAATCTGATTTAAGCTATCCCGAAGGCCAATTCATTCTTGCAACCAGCGCTTAAGCTGCACTCGTATCTTATCTGTAGTAACATTTCACTCCAAAAAGAACAAGGTGGCCTGGGCTTTTATTCAGACGTAATCTACTAGGTTACTGGCAACATGATAGGCTTGGCCAGAATACAGCAAAATCAAGAAATTCTCCTGGCCATTGGTGGCAATGCTGTTCAAGAGGATGAAGGGTCTTCAGCCATTTCTATCTCTTCATTTTCCTGAATGAAAACCAATTAATTACAAGAAAATCCTACACTCAGCTGCCCATGGCCATCAAAAACACAACCCTTTTACCTTAATTATGTTTCTTTTTATTCATTTCTATCCACTATTTACAAGGATTGGAATGGTCAGCCTGTCGTTTTCCAAATATGGGTAGTCCTTGACTTAAAAACATTCATTTAGTGCAGACATGTCAAACTCGTGACATCATGTGATGCCGCGCAATGTATCGGGCCAGTTTTGCCATTGCCGGCAATGGGGTCGGCACAGCTTCTAGGTGACGCGTCTGGCCCGTGGGCCTGCAGTTTGATACCCCTGATTTAGTGACTGAAGTTACCATGGCACTGAAAAAAATGTCATGGGATCAAAATTTGGGAGCTTGGCAAATGGCATGTATTTGCAGCATCCCAGGGTCACATGATCGCAACCTTTCCAGACAGCTTCCGACAATGGAGAAAGCCAGTTTTGCTTAACAACCACATGGTTCACTTAACAACTGCAGTGATTACTTGACGACAAAAAGGTTGTAAAATCAGGCACACATCACTTAACAACTGCCTTGCTTAGCAACACAAATTCTCATCCCAACTGTGGTTGTAAGTTGAGGACTACCTGTATATAGTAGAATACAGTCCCAGTCAGCATGGCTGAGGAGATGCTGATAGCTGCAGCTTAGCTATTTGGGAAAAACCATGGGTTTCCTTTGCTTTATGGAGTCAATGATCCAGTGTTATCCTTAAAATAGGTTACAGATCATCAGCCTAGAACAGTGGCCCCCAGCCTTTTGGGCATCTTGAAGAGAGGTTTATCTGTGGACCGGAGGAGGTGTGGTTTCGTGTGCTGCCTGCATCCCTTGGATGGGGGTTTGCTTGTTTGTGTGGCCCAATTTCTGGCATGCCACGGCCTAGTGCTGATCCACGGACTGGGGGGATTGGGGACCCTGGCCTAAAACATCCACTAAATTTCATAGCTCAAAGGAATATTAACTCAGATGTCTGTAGTCATAGATCAGTATTTAATAATTAAGACCAAATGCCTTTTTTCTTCTTTGTTCCTCTTGTAAAGAATCTGTCCCACCAAACTACTTTATTCCTTAGCTCATGCTTCATATATAAGGAGGATAATTGCTTTACCTTCCTTCCCTCTTATTGTAGGATATACATTTTTTTTATGTTTAATTGGTTCCTGTATTTTTGCAGTTTAGGAAAAGAGGTTAAAGCAATGTCAGTTGGGCTGAATTCAGTTATTTTTCTTTTTGATATTTTTAAACAATGTACATAGTAATGGTTCATTTTTAACATGCCCATAATGTTTGCTACAAGTTGTTTCCATGATGCTTATCTCTTTTATAAAGAACTAAATTCCACCATTCCTTGTAAAACAATTCATTACTTTGGCTTGATTTTATCAGCTACTTTTTTGAGAGGAGGTATTATTTTTCCATGTGATTTGTCATTTACCGTGAGAACGCTGGGCTGTAATTCAGACTAAAGAAGTGTGGCTAGGTCAGGGGTAGGCAACCTTGGCTCTTTTATGACTCGTGGACCTCAACTCCCAGAATTCCTGAGCCAGCATGGCTGGCTCAGGAATTCTGGGAGTTGAGGTCCACGAGTCATAAAAGAGCCAAGGTTGCCTACCCCTGGGCTAGGTGATAGTAAACAAAGGTAATTAAGACTGTTGGCCACATAGCAGACCAATTGGCCACATAGCAGACATATAGACCAGCTAGCTGCTAGATGTATCTTAATATTCCAGTCACATGGCAACCATGAGGAGGCAAAGAAGACAGCAACAGCCAAACCATGAAAAGATAAGACAGGTCTTGAAAAGCCAGCTCTATGGGAAGAACAAGATCTACACCATCAATACAGCTTGCATTTATTTTGGGTCTGTTTTTTGCTTGCTCTTGACCACTTTTTGGTTGAAAAAAAATCCAACTTTCTTGGAAAAAGATCAACATCTGCTTAGTTCATTTTTTCCCCTTATTTTTTTTTTCTATGCATGAGAATGCAATTCAATTAAAATGTTGTAATTCACATGTCCAGGATTCAAGCATAATCCTTGAACTTTTGAATACTTTATTTATATGGCAGATTGCCAAATGCTTTGTCTAATCATTTCATTTGCAACTTTATTCAATCCTTACAGAATGAGTTCTTTGTTGTAATTACTCTGGTAATAAAACAAGTTCATCCTTGTATGTTCTACTCAGTTTGGTGTTTATAAGTGGCTTCATATTTGCAGTGCGCTATATAATCACATACTTCGATTTCACTTGCTGTGTTTGAAAGCAACAGAAATTTAATGCCAACAGTTTCAAATAGATATCTTATGTTCCCACCTTTTCCTACCATGTCTGCAAGCTTGGGAAAGATAACTTTAAAAAATGTATTTCTCTAAGAGAAATTAACGCAGAAGCAGCTGTTCTTTCTTAAGAAAAGCAGTAAATAATTTTTCAGTTTATTTTTTATTATACAGCACTCCCTTTTTACGACCCCCGTAATCCTTTATTTCAGGATAGAGTCAGGGAGATTAGATGGAGCTGAGTGTTTGCTGTCTGATATTACATGGAGTTCATAGCAGATATTTTTATTTTGTGCCCTAGGAGAGAAACATCTACGGATATCTAGGATTGAACTCTCACTCTTCTAAGTGGGAGGCAGGCTTTTTCACCATTAGGCCACCATGACACTTTCTAATTTTATTATTATTATTATAAGTACATGTAGGAAAAAAAGCGGCAGAAATGTGTGTACAGCATTTATTCAACAAAACTAAATTTACATACCACACTACATACATTATTAATATTTCTATCAGTTTATTTAACAAAAAAAGTTAAATATACTGTATAAACCAGTCCAAAGTCCAAAATTTTGAATAGCCCTCCAAATGGGACTCCAGGAAATAAAATGTTTGTCTGGGTATGTAGAAGATTTCTTCCAACTTTGTTTAATTATCAGTGAATGGGAGTCCTGCCAGATTTGTTAGAACTTAGTAGTTTTTTTAAACTGGCAAACATGCAATGAGACACCTCTCATTATGACCTAAGGAAAACAGGCAAGAACATGTTGATCTGACCTGGTTTCTTTTGAAATTGAATATGCTGCCATCAGTCTTTCCCCCTTTCACTTGTTCTATAATTTGGATCTAAAAATCACCCTCCCTCCCTATTTCCTGGTTATTGCTAAACTCGCAGAACATTCACAGAATGTTCTCACTTTATATTGCTACACATGGACTCTTGGCCAATGTTTACAAATTCATTATGGGAAAGGGTTGCAGGAAAATCAATCAGTTAATAATGAATCATTAGTTAATTCACCTGCTCACATATTTTTTCATATTTATAAATACTTTTGATCCTTTTAGTCTTTTGTTGTTTAGGTTGTGATTAATATTCAGCTCATCCCAAACAAGACTGCATGGTTCTGGATTTTTGGATATCACGATTCTGGGGACCTTCCATCATTGATTCTAGATGGAGTGGCACAGTGGGGACCCTGCTCATGATCACTCCTGCCCTTGTGACATCCAGGTTGGACTATAACAATACATTTTATGTGGGGCTGCCTTTGAAGCGTATTCAGAAGCTTCAATTGGAGTAAAATATGACAGCATGGGCAGATACTGGTGCCAGTTATTCATCACATGCGACACAACTGTTCCATGAGCTGCATTGGCTTCTGGTGTGCTCCTGCAATTCAAGATGCTGGTTTTTATCACCAGGTTACTTATAGGACATCTCTTCCCAATTGTTTTTACCTGTCCTATACGATTGAGCAGAAAGAGCATGCTCCGGGTACCATCAGACAATATCGTTTGGCGGAACCCAGAAGGAAAACATTTTCTGCTCTGGCACCTGCCCTTTGGAACATCATTCCACCTGAGATTAGATTGGCCCCATTCCTGTTGGCCTTTCACGAGGCCTTGAAAACTTGGCTTTTTCTCCAGCTTGGCACCCTGGGTATGGGTTAGAACGTATTTCCTGATTTTATGGATTAGGATTAGACTAGATCATAGCTCATATAATTCATAGCTCATATAATTCATATCTTATCCTCAAGTCTGAAGCCAGGGAGGTAAGAGAAGAAATGCAACTGAATGAATGTTTGCCAGTCAGTTTCACTGTTGGCTATTTTCCCATTTTGCACTGAGATCTCCTTTCAGTTTGCCT